CCTGGCTTCTGATTTGCATAGTTGTGATTTAGTAATAATAATCCCATATATTTGTATGAAAGCATTCATCTATAAATTTCTCTTTCAAAAGTGCATCCAAATTATTTCTCCCACAGCTGGGAATACCGACTAACAGAAGCTGTGCAGTTTGATAGTCTTCACAAAGCAGTGTCAGAGATGACAACATAAGCAGGCCCGAAGTGCTTTAAACTGCACTGTGTTGTCTGACGTTTCCATCTGAATAGATGTTTGCTAGCTGAGGAGGACAAAACTGGTTTCAGGTTTGACCGAAATGAGCACGCACTCTGCTCACCAAGCCACTGCAATAGCTGAAATTCACAGAACTGTTCAGTGACAGTTGTGATTTAGCATCAAAATGAATGTGTTTCATAAAAATAGGGCATGGTAATATAAACAAATACTGTTCTAAATAGAAAATACTTAGCTTTTTAAGATCTGTAATTTCTACAGATAGCAGCAGATGGTGCTATCCTCCTGGCTAGAAGGCAACGCGGCACTGGAGCTCTACTAAGTGAATAACCCCTGCACTACCAGCTTCACTAGCTTTCTAGCTGTTGCGGAGATTTGTAGATAGTTGGATGAAATCTTGCTGTATATATGACTTCAGGTGAAATTAAGTACAAGTTTAAGCTGTTAGTTCACATCAAACAGTGCTGCTGTGATTCACAGCTAGCGACTGACGCTCATACTGGCATGCTTTGCAGTTTCTAACAGCAGTTATTACGGCAGTCCTCCTTCAAACAGATAGGAGTCCAGAGAAAGGAAACTAAAGTGATCAGAGATTGGGGGAAAAGGATTGTATTTGGATTAGACAGCGCAGCCAAGTAGCGCTGGTGGGATTTTGTTCAGACAGTGGCTGCATAAATAGCTAAGGAGAAATACATCTCAGAGATGGGCTGAGTAAAGGCAGCATGGAGGAATAAGAGGAGAGCTTGCAGCAGGCATCAGTGGCTGTTTCATCTCATGGTTGTGCCTGTGTTTTATCTCTGCTTCTCTTAGAAATATTTGAATGAACACAACCTACGACTCTGGGACTTCTTTAGGAAAATTGACAAGGAAGGAAACATGAAGATCCCTGTGTCAGACTTCAGGAGAGCCATGATGCAGGTGTGTTCCTGAAATCATGGTCAGGGTGCTCCTCCAACAGCATACTGCTCTGAGGAAACCCCTCTGCTACACCACTGCTACCAGTCAGCCTTGCTGGTGATGTCCAACAAGTAGGCTGAAGGCACCCACTGCAAAAGCTGAGCCTTCAACAGATTCCAACAGAAATGCTGAGACATCCAATAAATACTGCAGAGGGCATCAGTGATTATCTGACCTGATTATCTGAAATTTAGAGTATCACAAGAACCTGGAGAAATCACAGAGGTCAGCTTTTTGTGCAGGATATAACTATTTGGTCTTAACAATAGTCATTTCTTACTGCTATGAGAAAGTGAGTAAGAGTGATTTAAACCCTTGTTCCTGCACACTGAGTGGACAGTTCTCTTCCTGCCAGAATTACCACAGTGATGGTACCAAGAGCACTGGACACCTCTATATCATGTTACTTTACACCTTTGCAAAAAAAAAAAAAAACAAAAAACAAAAAACAAAAAACAAAAAACCAACATTATTTTTATCCTCCCCACCATCACTCCGGATTTTTACATCCCGTATTTTTCCATGAACCAGGCTCTCTCCTCACCTATTGGGAGATGGCCACACTCCAATCTGATACAGAGGATTTTTCTGCTGTAAAATGAACAGATTTGTAAATATTTCTCTCTCCTCTTAGCAATCAAACATCCAACTGGATCGAGTCCAAATTGTGGAACTAGTGCGAAAACTGGACCAGAATCAGACAGGGATTGTAGACTATAGGTAAGTGACTCCACTCATTTACTGTCTTTTATTTTTATTTTTTTTTAAAATTTGTTATAATACAAAGTAAACACACCCTCATTCGATTTAGTTGTTAAAAGGACACATTTCTTGTCAATCCAGCAACATTCATTACACACTACTTACCTAAGTGAAAGGTAGATCACACAGCGCCTCGTACGCTTAGAAACCTTAAAGAACCAAACTACAAGTCAGGATTGTTTTTCTATTTTATAAACTTCCTGTGAGAGTGCATGGATCTCAAAGCTGAATGGCATTTTTATTCACACTCATAAACCCACATGAGAAGCATCAGCTCAATACTGTCTTCCCCCGAAGCTAAAGTACGATTTGCAAAGGCAGCATATGTATGCCTTCAGACCTTTTTCTCCATCCCCGGAGACTTTCATTTTTTTCTTTCTCTCTGATCATTCTTCTTAGGAGACCTGGTTTTCCCTAGAAACCCACCTTCAAACTACAGAACTTTTCATTCTCTTGAAAGCGCCTAAAGTGCCTCTGTCTTAGTGCCTGTAGCAATCATGTCCAAGCTCTGAGTCTGAGCAGTCAGCAACAAACTCCTTGGAGGTTGCCAGTTGCTGCAGGCTAAACTGCTTGTCACTGGACCACAGACTTCCCCCTAGACTTGCAGTCAGTTCTGACATGTGACTCATCACCTGAAAGCCCTATTAATGATGGCCAAAAACTCCCACCCCTTAGTACATGTTGTTGGGTTTAAATATAAGCTCTAGTCTGGTTTTAAGGTTAGAAGCAATGGGTAAGCTTTGCAAATCTTTTACCTCTGCTTCATAATGTTTTCAAAGAGTAGCTGAGATATGAATGACTTTATTAGATCCAGTCTTTAGTCCTTTTCATCTATCACTGCCATGCTAAAGGCATCTATGTTCAGGCACTGTATAGGCTTTAGCCTAGTTAATCTTGAATCAGAGATTACATAGGGTAACCAAGTATTTTAAGCACAAATTACAAAAGTGTGGTTGAGCAGTAAGCAAATGAGGAACCACTGAAACCCAGTGGACAACAAAGGCTGCTGCTGAATTGATGTGGAAAAAAAAAAATATATAGATACTCCTTATCGAGCTGCTTAGTAGATTTTAACACTGAATTAGGTGTGATAGTGGCAATATCCACTTTGCAGACAGGAGTCAGAAGAGCTGTCACCTTTGCTGTCCTTACTGTTTCTACCTCAGACCATTTCCTCAGGGTCAGTGATGAGCTGATGCTCAGGGATTAATATTGCTTCATCTCTTTCTTTTCAATCAGTCACTTGAAAGAGCAGAAGCCAGAACAGAAAGCTGTGAAAGAGGAAATAAAGGAGGAGATGAAAAAATGAAGTCAGAAGGCAGGTGAGCCAGTGAAATATAGTAGGAGAAACGCTGGAAGAAAATTCATAATGGCTCTGGGCTTGGGGGGATTTGAGAGAATCCAAGTGATCAAATGTAGAAATAAAGTCAATGTTCCTCTGCAAGGCAAGTCTGGTGGTTTTGGTCAAGAGCTGGAGCTGGTTACCAAACCTATCTCACAGCTATTCACTGGCCTGCAGACCTGTATTGTATTCTCCACCCTCCCACTCCTCCCCACCATTTTTCTTTCTTCCAAGCTGAAACATGCCAGCTATCCAATAATTTCTCATAGGACAGACTCTGTTGATCCTCGTTTCCCTTCTCAGAACCATCCCCAGGTGGAATATACGGGAATAAGAATCACAACTGCAACGAGCATTCAAGACACTGATGAGTTTGCACATGCATGAATGTAACACTGTTTCTTTTCATTCTCCTCTCCTTTCCTAAAAACTCCCAACGTTTCATCAGCTTTCCTTGGCTGTTGATGAGCACTGAGGTATGTTTCACAGAACCAGACACCAGACCTGATCTTACCCCTAAACACCAAGCCGCACCATGAAGCCCATCCTTTTACACGTGAAAAACGTGAAGGGGGCGGCGCGCTCATCATTTTGCACTTCTTGATCTCTTCTTCCTAAGACAGAGCAGCTGTCTCCCGTGATGCCAAGGACGCTCCTGGGCCATGGCTGCGAGGAGCCGAGGCCGGCCCTGCGGCAGCGCGGTGTCGGTGCCCGCCCTGCCCGCTGGGTGTCGCCGCAGCCCCGCGGTGGGAGCAAAGCACGGGACCCGGCGGCCCCGAGCGGAGTCCATGTTCTCTCCTGAAAGAGACTTTGTGTCTCCTGTGCAAAAAAATGCCACCGGCGGGACGTCATCTGGTGATTTTCCTGCCGTCCTGCCAGACTCCATTTATATACTAGGAAATATCTTCATCGTTTATTCCCGCAGCATCCTGGGTTTGTGCTGCATACGCTATGCGTGCATCTTTATCTCATGCGCAGTGCTGTCGTGTGTTAGTCACACGTTGCTATTCTGCTTAGGTCTGCACAGAACTGGCTGCCCAACTAAACTGATTTGCCCAATTATCGCCCTTAAGATTCTAGACTAGCTGCAGCCATGAAAAATTCTCTCTTCTGTAAGAAAGCAACATAATCAAATATAGATAGGTACTGCCCTGCAGCAGGTGTGGCTTTTATTTGGTTCTCTTAAGCTTCAGATTCAACAGTGATGGCAGCTTTGTTGTACATTTACACTACAGAAAGCCTACACGGTGATTGGATGGTTTCTTTATTATTATTTTTTTAACAAATAAATAAATTTAAAAATCACAACCTGAAAAAATTGTACCAAATTCAAACCCAAATTTCTAGCTTCTAGAAGGGTTTGATAAGTAAAAATTGCCTACTTCACCAAACACATAAAATCAAAAGAGAGTGAATTTCTGGGGAGGATCTCTAGGTGCAACATTCTGTCCTACCGTGTGGCTTGATGCAACTAAAACCAGCTAAAATCAGTAAGTGCCAGTGAAAATGTTAATTCTATGAATTCATATGCAGGCAGTGTGGTGGAGGGATGTGGCTGCAGTCTGTATTGTTGCAGAGTCTCTCTGAACACTCTCATATCAATAAAGCTTTTTTAAGCTTGGTGGCAGCATTTGTCCTGCACTGGCACTTTGGGGATGAATTGAGTTGGGTGTTGAGCGGGGACAGGCAGGAAATGGAACATGAATTGCTCGCCTGATCCCACACCTGTGAAATGGTGCAGAAGGAAATGTTTTAGCTGCCATAAATTAAGGCTGCTCTGAGACTCATCTAACATACCTCAGGAATTCAGCCTGCCAGTACAAAATTGGACAGTGCAGAAAGCTGGTGAAACAGAATCACTGCATCTTCTGTGTGCTGGAGAGTGATACAGCCAAGTGACATAGCCAGCTCTCTTCAACAGTAGAAAGCAAGTAACTACTATTAAGTAACGTGTTTTGAAAACTCAGCATGCACAATACTGTATCTAATGTGTTAGCTACTTTAAATGAACATTTAGATCTCTCACAGGGAATATCTTCTATCTGTAACAGACCTTACCTAGCAGACTGGGTGTTCAGACTGATTTCCTAGGTGCCACGGCAACACTTAAGAAAATACAGCTCTGCATTAAAAAAAAAAGACATTGCTAGTCATAATCTTTGAAAATCTCATATATATATGTGTGTATGCAAATATACAACACAACTGATGTTATATGTAGAGCTATTTCAGCTTGTTCATGTCTCACTGAACTGGCCAAAAGGATTTTTAGGATTTGCTTTCAAAGGAGAAATCTCATACACTGCGGAAGTGGATACACTGATATTGGTTGCCATCTTTTAAGCTTGCATCAATAGTTCTTTGTTCCAGTGGTCTCCCATTCATATAATGGTACACCAAAAGATGTTCTGCATATATCAGTGGACACGTGCCTTATTCAAAGGAGTGTCCTGCAGCTGTGCACAAAATCCAGCATCATGAGACTGGGAGCATGCTATGCACAACACACTCGATGGTGTACTGAGATGCTTACGTTCCCTGTCTATTCGTTGAGTAAATCCTAGCCTGCATAAATCACAACAACTTTACCAAATCTGAAGAGATGATGGAGTGAAAGTTTGCAACAACAGAATTTTTTTTTTTTTCAGTGTGAGACAGGATTTGGGTCATTTGGCAGATGCTAAATTGTTTTAGCAACACACTGAAAAAGACAGGTCAGAATGGATCTCAGTTCTTGAAAATGTAAGTTATAGTTGTTCTTTTCTTGTTCAGTAGGTGATTCCTTATCTGTCTGTAATACTGAAGCTAGTTCATAGTTCCTTACCCCAGAGAACCCTGCATTCTGAATTTGGCCCACAGAAGCATTCAGTCAACTCATAGTTCATTCCTTGCCACTACTTTCCTGCAGGCTGCTGAGATGCCAGCAGGACATGGTCTGCAGGCTGGGCAGATTGCTCTGGTGGCCTTCTCTGTGCCCTCGCTTCTCACTTGCATCACTGATGTGATAGCTGCACAGCCTTCTGGGGACCAGTGTATTCCCAGCCTCAGGGAGAAGGGGGGATGTGATCCTGTCACAGAACAACATGGAAATAATGTCCTACCAAATACACATTGAGTATGTCAATTCCCTGATGTCTATGCTTGCATTTGTTGTCACAAGTTAAACTAAGCAGTCATATAATGGAGGTCTACAGGGTATGGCCCCCATGAAGGCCTGAGACTAGATCCAGCCATGAACTACAGGGAAGATCAAGCCATTGTGACTGTCCTCTTTGCCACTGGTTCCTTCTCACCCCATCTTTGTGTAGCCAAAGTGGGAGCACCAGTGTCTCTGAGTACACACGTGCTGAGAAGTCTGAGCTGGGGAGCTGGGACCAGCCCATAGCACAGCTTTACAGCCCATAGCACAGCTTTACAACCCATAGCACAGCTTCAGCCGCTGAGGCCCGGCCCCACTGTGAGGTAAGGGTGGTGTTCACGGCAGCACTGCTTTTCTCGGGTGGCAGCACAGGAGGACCGTGCACCTTGGGTTTGGCCCCCGCGAAGGCTGCACCTTTGTCCATTTCCACCGAGCAGAGGGCGCTGTGCTCTCAGAAGTGGTCCCAGCACATTCCTGGGATGCAGCCGAACCACTGGAAGAAGTCCTGCACATACACACCCTAAGAGACAAAAAAAAAAAAGGACCGCACTCAAGCCAAACTGTGCACTGCTAAAAAGGTTTTCTGAACCCCTTGGAAATGCAGTTTGTGAGGGTGCGGGAGGCCCCACCAGCAACAGCCGGGCATGGTGCAGGCTGGAAAGCCACATCCCAGCATAGCCACGTGCCAGCATGGCCACGTCCCGGCAGGCCCAATGTCCCAGCAAGCCTGCTGTCTGACAGGCCCGGTGCCTCCGCAGGGCCGCTGCTCCGCCACGGCACCCACCACACACGGCCCCGGCCCCTGGCAGCGCGGCCCCACCGCCGTGGTGGAAAAGCCAGAAGGCGAGCTGCTCTCTGGGAGGTGGAGACAGACACAGGCGGAGTCAGATCGCAAATTCTTGAACCTTTAACATCCTTTCTGTAATTCGAAACATACTTGTTCCCATTCCAGAGCTCTTTTTTTTTTTTTTTTTTTTTTTTTTAAATTAAATTCCTTCCTTGAGACTGTGGAAGTACATTCAGGGAAAAAAAAAAAAAAAGGAGAGAGAGAGAGAGAGGCAGAAAGAAAGATAGGAAGAAAGGAAAGAAGAAAAAAAGCAAGGCCGCTACTTATCAGAGGCTCCACAACAAAACGGAAACGTGAGAGCACAGCCCTCCCCAGCACAACTGCTGGCGGGCTCAGATTTCTGTGGCTGGGTCACGGCTGCGGCAGCTGGCCCTGCCTGCAACCAGGCAAACCAACCCTGCCTCCTCCACAAACAGCGTTTACCTCCTCCTGCTTCACCAGGCCTTGGTGTACAGAGCGGAAGGAGCCGTTAGCAAAGAGCACCGATTTCTGCCTGGTCACCCTCCGGAGGCGATTCCCATCCGGTGGCCTTCCCAGCCAGCTTCAGCCCTTCCAGCTGCCCTGGTTTGTTTGGCAGAAGAGGGAGCATGTCACTCTGCTTTAAGTCCCCCAGCTACAAACACTCAATCTGACTGCTTCCACAAGAGCAGCCGGCAGACAGTTTCCATGTTTAGGATGGAGTGTGCACGTATGGAGAGGAAAGCTGAACTGACGTGTGCTCAGAAAGGCTTTGCATGCCACTAATCCCCCCAGCAGCATGCTGTGCTTTCTTGCATCAGCCAGACCATGACTGCCTGCTTCTCTCCCCCTGGGCAAACCACAGCAGGTGACTCTGATGGTGCAGCAGGGCTTTGTTTGTTTTGTGTAAAGAAGCAACAATTACCCATGACACCAAATGACACCCGGGTCAGAAGCATCCCAAGGTTCCTGCCCTGCAGTGCCTGTGGCAGTGCTGTTGCTATGCTGGTGCAAGGCAGGCAG